TTCACACTTTTTCTTGGGACATTTTTTTTCTGGGTGATTTGGGCTTTTTCTTGAGACATCTCATTTTCCAGTGGTCTTCAGATTCTTAGCTGGAAGCCTTCATTCTCCTGAAAAGACAAAAACAAAATTCTTCTCCAACCTTAACTTTGGGGAGGTTCCCTTATGGCAAGTTATATCTGATTAAATGAAAAGTGTTTTTTAGTTTAAAGTTAGTTTAGATTGAGTGGCCATGTTGTTTAATGAATTCTCACCTCTTTTAATCAAGGGTGTCTCCTGTTCAAATCTAATCTTTATCAATTTTGATGGTAGCTATAGCATTTCTTCTGTGGAAAGAAAAGCAAAACCCTGCCCCAATGTAACATATGTCCTGGCTTCCATTTTAAGCTCAGCACAATTTTAAAGTATACAGGCTAATTGATTCCATACTTTCTTATTTATCCAATGTCTCTCTACATCTGTTGTTCCTTTCTCTTTAGCATTCAGATAATTCAAAGTTAATAACCATTATGCAATCCATTTCTGTGGGTCTTTATTGCCCCTTTTTGTTTATTTAGCATATCCTTCTGACTTTGATCTGGCCTTTCTATAGTTGCTTAACCTATAAGATTGTGTGGTATACCTGTGATATACTTTATATTGTAATAATTAAAAAACTGTTTCATTTTACTAGAGACATAATACTGGAGCATTGTCACTCTTAATTTGTACAGGTATCCAATGATGGTCATAACTTCTAACAAATGTGTGATTACAGAATCAGACTTTTCAGAACTCTAAACAGTCGCCCACTGAAATCCTGAATAGGTGTCAATGGTCTGGTGTACATCCATTTGCCTGATTTTATTCCTTTGAGTACCCGGTGGGTGACTTCCTGCTGGTAGTGGTGTATGACTGTATAAAGAACAAGTAGGATCTTTCCTTAGGGTTTCCTCGACTTGTTGCCAAGTGATGAAAAAAAAAATCATTGTGAGATATGGCTTAGCCGTTAAAGGCTAGGCTCACAACCAAAAATATAAACCTTTGTTATTGTTATGATGTTTTTCTTGAAATTCTTAGGCCTCTGACACATTTCCTATCAATAGTTGATCAGTTTCCTCATTACCTTGAACTAGAAGTCCCGGCAGACCCACATGGGAGCGTATATACATATATATGATTCTTATTACTGTATATTTCTTCTAACTGTATAAATAATAAAGTCAATTCTCTATCATGTTATATAAATTTATGTGTTATATAAATTCAGCAGTTTCAATATGCAAGGCAATTTTCTGCATATTGTGAATAAATAACCATGTTGAGGGGTTCTGTAAAACCCATTAATTCCATAAGAATAGCATATAATTCTGACTTTGGGAGAGAATCATTGGGGTTTTGAGGCACTTTAGGTAGATTTTCTGATTTGTAATCTGCCTTTCTTGATTTGTTTGCTTCAGTATAGAATATATGGTCTCCACATATTGGTGTTTCATATAATTCGAGAAAGGATCTAGTTTCTTTTTTTATAAATTGAATTTTCCTGGTTTGGGGAAATCTCTCCTAAAAGATTACTGTAAGCTCGTTGTCAGGGTTTACTTTATGACCATAATCTTCCATTTTATCAGTAGTAAAACGTACTGCAGTTTTTTGGTTTTGGGTTTTTTTGTTTTGTTTTGTTTTGTTTTGTTTTTTTTTTTTTTTTGGTTTTTTTGAGACAGGGTTTCTCTGTGTAGCTTTGGAGCCTATCCTGGCACTCACTCTAGAGACCAGGCTGGCCTCAAACTCACAGAGATTTGCCTGCCTCTGCCTCTGCCTCCCAAGTGCTGGGATTAAAGGCCTGAGGCACCAACGCCCAGACACGTACTGCAGTTTCTACATAGTCTATTCCTGGTAAATTTCAAGCTCTCAGTTTACCTTTTACAATCAACTTAGAGATATTGTCCAGATAAGTTAAATCTTTACTTTGTTTATGTTGTGAAGAGATGCATTCTAAGATACTGACCTCCCTCTACATTAATATTCCTGCAGGAGGATGCCTGGAGGGTAAAGTAACCAAATGCAATCAAGTTTTGGATCCAAAGGATCCACATGTGCAGATTGTAGCTTCTTTTCCACCGGAGGCGATTCTCTCTCAGCGTCAGCTGATGATTCCCCGGGGCTATTAAAGTCACCATCTCCGGTTCAGTTTAAATTAATCAGCTGATTAGGTTTTATTCCAATAATGTGCCATAGATGGGAAACGTTTCCTAGCAATCTTTGAAAGTCATTTAGAGCTAGCAATTGATCTCTCCTAATTTGCACCTTTTGAGGTCTAGTTTTCTGTAGAATGATTTTATATCCTTAATATATAATAGAATATCCTCTTTGTATTTCTTCAAGAGCAATTTGTAATCCCTAGTGAGGCAAATTTTCTTTACCTCTTCAAACATTGTCTCAGAATTATCTACACTTGAATTAGCTAGTAAAATATTGTCTGTATATTGGTAAACTATAGATTGAGGAAAGTTCTTATGTGTTATATCCACTAGGTGACTTATAAAATATTGTCACAGTGTGGGGCTATTTAACTTTCTTGTGAGAGAATCATCCATTGACATCTCTTTGCAGGCTGAGAATTATTATAAGTAGGCAACATGAAGACAAATTTTTCACTGTTTCTGGTAATGGTATATCAAGAAAACAATCTTTTAAATTAATAAGTGTAAGAGACCATCCTTTAGATAATAAAGAAGGCAAAAGAATCCCAGATTGTAGTGAGCCCATTCATTACCTGAATCACCAAATTAACATTCTCCATTTTTCAGATTTATTTTTAATAACAAATATAGGAGAACTTCAAGGGCCGGTTAATTCTTCAATATGTTGGGCATTTAGCTGACTCTGTTCTAAGGCCTGCATTTTCTCTGTTGCTAAAGGTCATTGCTTAACCCATACATTCTTGTCCATCAACCATTCTATGGTAGGGCTGTAGGTGCCTTTGAAGTGCCCTCTTCTTGTACAACCTGAGTGGTCAGTGACTGTTCATTATAATACCTTCTAATATTTTCATGAGAAACATACATTATTATATGGTTTGTTTCTATGGTTAGAGGAATGTTAAACTGAGTGCTCCATTGATGTAACAAATCATGTCCCCATAAGTTCATTATACATAAACACAAGGCTTTAAATTTCTTCTCTGTCCTTCTGGCTTTATACATTCAGTCTCGCACTCTGTTTTCCTTGAGATAAAGTTCCAATCCCTAAAAGTTGAACATTTACCTCTTGAAAAGGTGCATTTTGATGCCAAGATACTGGGGAAATTGTGACATCTACATCTATATGACCTTTAATAACAATGTCAGTTATTTGCATTTTTAATTTTAGTCTTTGTTCATTTATAGTAGTTTGCCAAAAGATTTGCTTTATGGTTTCTCCTGAGTATTTTGTTCTTTCCTCCATAGCTATTGTATCATTCAGAACACTGTGGTTTCTTATAATAGGTTTTAGGTTCTTTAATTGCTTTGTGAAGGAGTTTCATCCACTGTCACAAGAAATTACAGAACAGAATTTGCATGATGGCCTGCAAGAGGCCCCTCAAGGCATTTTCCAGTGGCATACGGTTACCTTGACTGTCACTTGTTGACCTATATTCACTTGTACAGTGCCTGCCTTTGTTCCACCTTCTGCATAATCCAGAAGGTAGAGGCTTTCTGTTTGAATTATGCTTAGAAAAGTCATTGTTTCTAGAAAAGCCTTGCTTACAAACCCTTTTTAAGTGACCCTGATTGCCACAATTGAAACACTTGACATTCTGATTTCTCTTCAAACCTCTGGAAATCACCTCTCCTACCCATGCATCATGGCATGAGATTGAATATTTGATTGTATCTCAGATCCATTCCTCCAAGGGTGCTAATCATGCCGGTAGTGGCATAATTACCCTTTTGCATTATGAATTAGCATTTTCAAAAGCCAGAGATTCAATTATTATTTGTTTAGCTTCAGAATCTTGTATCATTCTATTTTCTCTTGAGGTCAGGCTTTGTAATAAATCTATAAAAGCTTCCTTTGTGACATGCATTACTTTAGTAAATGACTCAGTTTCCTTTCCTACGTCTAAATTCTATCCCAACCATTCAGAGCTGCTGTGTGGCATAAATCCAGGACATACATGATCATCATATCGAGATTGCCTTTGTATGTCAGCATAATCTCCCTCGCCAAGAAATTGGTCTTTGGAGATTTTCATCCCCCTAGGCCTACTTTGTTATTCAATGGTCTTAACCTCTTCTTTCCACCATGACTTCCAGTGTAATTGAAAACAAATCTCCCTGACAGCTTTAAGAAAATCTCTCTAATTTCTTGGGATAATTCTATTACAAGTTGATCATGAGTTTAACATTTTCTTCACAAAGGCTGAATGTTCTTAACCATTGAGCCATCTCTTCAGCCTTTATATACATTGCTTCTATTGGTCTTTTTATCTGGCTGTCATAAATGACCCAGAAGAGTGACTGTGTCAGAAGGCGTTTATTTCATATCATGCTTGAAGGGTATGTACTGTTCAAAAATGCAGAACTGTGAAGCTGCTAGTCACAGTGCACACAATCATGAAGAGAATAATGTGTGATTGTATGTTTTAGGTTTCCTTTTCCTCTATCGTAGCTCTTATAGAGTTCACAAAATATTGCTCTCAAGTTGGAGCATGTATTGCTTTGACTATGCTCTAGCTGTATGCCTGTCTGCTTCCCACCGTGAAAATCACTGACTAAACCTCTAAGTGTAAGTGTTTTTCCCCAGGATGCTTTCTTTTATAGTAGTTGCTTGGTCATGATGTTTCCTAAGGGCAGTTGAGTAGTAATTGAGATAGTGGGGCTCCTTTATTACATCAAGTAGTGAAGATAGCATCCCACAGATATTCTTCAGTTACTGCTATTCGCATGATAATTTAGAGGTGCCTTTGGGATTATATGCTGGATGATTTTGTATTCTATTAGTCTGTCAGTTAAAACTAACCACCCTAATATATGCACCCTTAGGAGAAAGTGGCCTTTGAAGATGTGGCTGTGAACTTCACCTCAGGAGAGTGGGCTTTGTTGGATTCATTTCAAAAGAAGCTCTACAGAGATGTGATGAAGGAGACATTTTTGAACTTGATCTCCATAGGTAAAATCCCAACATATTCTCATTGTTAATTTAGTCAGAGAACAACCATGTCTTGTGTATGTGTGTACTGTTGGTATTTGAATTCTTGAAGTGAATATGTGGTAAATGTAGTGTGAAAACCCATGTCAAAGCAGCTAGGGTATAATACTATTTATGTTGATTATGAATATGTTATACTGTATTCTCTGGATTTTCTTCTAGAAGAAGCAGTAGAAGAAAATATTGGCGAGGACTACAAAGACCTCAGCAGAATCACACGGTAATTGATATTCAAAAGAGTGGAATTGATCTCACTTATTTGCAAATCATAGGACAACTGAGTGCCTATCAAAATGTCTAAAGAAATCTAAGTGAATTATAATCTCTAAACACATTTCTGTAATATAACATTGAATTGTGCCATTCAATATTTGAGTGCCTCAACTTTGTAACATATTAAGATCACACATGTGTCATGTAACGTTATACTCAGAAGGAGCTTTATCAGTGGGTTATTACAAATGTCAAAATTATTTGCTGTCTTTCTATGCATTATTTTGAGGCACTGACCATAAGTTTTGTGGGTTTTTTCACTTTCATTTGCTATGACAATAAACAAAAAAACTCAACTCTGGTGGAGCTCATTTTTCATTCCATAACCTTGTCACAGTCCCATCATAAAGGGAAGTCAGGGCAGGAACTCAACCCGGACAAGAACCTGTAGGCAGGAACTGAAGCAGAGGAGATGGAGAAACGCTGTTTACCGGTGTGCTCCTCATCTCTTACTCAGCTACATGCCTTATACAGCCCTTGCCTACCTGTCTAGGGGGATACCACACACAGTAGGCTGACATATACCTTCTCAATCACTGATCAAGAAAATGCCCTCACAGACAAGCCTAATATCACCTGAAAAAGCCATTGACTCCTTTCTGGTTCCCTCTCTCAGATGTGTGTCCCCGTTTGTGTCACCTTGACCAAAGTAACCAGCAGGTGCCTTTCCTACACAGTTCATGCCCCCTTGTCCATGGCTGCAATGCACATCATAGTGTGAGCATCCTTCATCAATCAGGATTGTAAAATGCTCCCTCAGACCCATTTACAAGCCAATCTGAGTCATTTTTCTCTTTTGAGGGAACCCAGTTTCTAATGGCCCTTGATGCCTGTAGTTGATAACTAAGGAACCAACACTGTCTTAGAAATGTGAATGTCAAAATGCCAGTGTTTCCCCACTTTGATTGTAATGATTTTCTACTGACACCAAAATTTTGCCTTCACTTTTGATCCTTTTAAGCATATTATTTTTTTTGTACTTGTACATGTATATCTATGTTTGTATACAACTCTTTCTAAAAGGCAGAAGAAGGCAAAAAGATTCTTCAGACCATGAGTAACAGGAATTAGTGTGCTCTTCACATGAGTGCTGGTCATCAAAATCTGGACTACTGAGGAGCAAAATTATTTTAACCTCCAAATCTGTGATACAACTCCTTCATAATTCAAATAGAAGTAAAGACCACACTCTATTTCTTTACAGATGACAGGGTCTTTACATGTGGTACACATTTTCCTTCACAGTGACTGTGTTTTTCTGTTGCCTCTGAGATAGTATCATTTCAGTGGTCCACACAAGCCAGCCTCCAACATTTCCCTTGCCTGCAGTAATTCTCTTCTCATTTTTTGCAGAATTCAAGTGATTGAGAAAAACTGTGGATATGCATGTGGCCATGAGTGTGATAAGACCCAGGAACCTATTACAGAGAATGTCATCAACACAGGCATGCCTCCTGGAGAAAGAGTATGTCAAAGCCCATTGCATATAAGAAACATCCTTGGTCATTTATCCTCACATGGGTATCTCAGAGAGCAAACTACAGGGATACCATCTGTATGGAAGAAAGCTATAACTAAAGCTTTTACACATCAGGAACATTGGAAAGATACCCATCATTCTGAATCACTTCAGGTACTTGAAACTTCTCCCCAGAAGAAACCCTGTGAAAGTCAAGAATATAATGAAGCTTGTAGGAGTCTCAGTTTGGATCAGCCTCAGGAGAGAGCTCACACTGGAGTTACACTCCATGAAAATGACTTGACTGGATACACATTTGTTCAGAACAATGAAGGCATCCATAAAGAAGTGAAACAGTTTGTATGTAAGCTCTGTGAAGAAGCCTTCATTGAGTCCAGTGACCTTTACAACCATGAAAAAGGTCATATTTCACAGAAAAGGTACTATTGTATGCACTGTGGGAAAACATTTAAAAATGCAAAATGTTTTGAGAAGCATAAAGTAACTCATACAAAAGAGAATCCTTATGTTTGTAAGAGTTGTCAAAAAACCTTTACATGCTTCAGTCATCTGAAGAAACATCTAAGGAGTCACACTGGAGAGAAGCCTTATACTTGTAAGAATTGTCAAAAAACCTTTACACACTCCAGTCATCTACACAGACATGAAAGGATTCACACAGGAGAGAAGCCTTATGTTTGTAGGCATTGTGGAAAAGCATTTAACCGTTCCAGTCATCTGAATATACATGAAAATATTCACAATGGAGAGAAACCTTATGTTTGTAGGCATTGTGGAAAATCTTTTAACTACTCCAGTGCTCTGAATGTTCATGAAAGGATTCACACTGGAGAAAAGCCTTATGCTTGTAGGCATTGTGGAAAAGCATTTAATTATTCCAGTACTCTGAATGTTCATGAAAGGATTCACACTGGAGAGAAGCCTTACTCCTGTAGACATTGTGGAAAAGCATTTAACACCTCCAGTCATATGAACAGACATGAAAGGATTCACAGTGGAGAGAAGCCTTACACTTGTAAGCATTGTGGAAAAGCATTTACCACTGCCAGTCATCTGAACAGACATGAAAGGATTCACAAAGGAGAGAAGCATTATGCTTGTAGACATTGTGGAAAAGCATTTAACTGCTCCAGTCTTCTGAACAGACATGAAAGTGTTCACAGTGGAGAGAAGCATTATGCTTGTAGGTATTGTGGAAAAACATTTAACTCCTCCAGTGGTCTGAATACTCATGAAAGGATTCACAGTGGGGAGAAGCCTTATGCTTGTAGGCATTGTGGAAAAGCTTTTAACTGCTCAAGTCGTCTGAATAGACATGAAAGAATTCATAGTGGAGAGAAGCCTTATGCTTGTAGACATTGTGGAAAAGCATTTACCACCTCCAGTCATCTGAACAGACATGAAAGGATTCACAATGGAGAGAAGCCTTATGCTTGTAAGCATTGTGGGAAAGCCTTCACTGACTCTACTAGTCATAAGAAACATGAAAGAAAGCACACTGGAGAGAAGCCTTATGCATGTAAGTATTGTGGAAAAGCCTTTAGGGACTCTAGTACTCATAAGAATCATGAAAGGATTCATAGTGGAGAGAAGCCTTATGTATGCAGGCATTGTGGGAAAGCCTTCAGCCAGTACAATGGTCGTAAGTATCATGAAAGGACTCACACTGAAGAGAAGCCTTATTCTTGTAGGCATTGTGGGAAAGCCTTCAGTGACTCCAGCAGTCAAGAGAAACATGAAAGAATGCACACTGGAGAGAAACCTTATGCATGCAAACATTGTGACAAAGCCTTCAGCCTGTCCAGTAGTCTTACGAATCATGAAAGGACTCACACTAGATAGAAGTGTTATGTATGTAAACATTACATAAAACACTTTACCCATTTCACATCCTAACTTGAATGAAAAAAATCACTGGAGAGAAACAATTTTTGTGTAAAACATGTGGGAAACTGTTCATTTAGTCTAGTGATCTTTACATGTTTGAAATAGTTCACTCTGCAAACAATTATCCATGTAAGCATTTTGCAAAAGACTTCATGACTCCAGTAGTCCCCACAGACATGGAAGTATCACACTGGAGAAAAGCCTTATGTTTTTAAGCATTGTAGAAAAGCCTTCAGGCAGTCTGGTGATAATAGCAGACACGAGTGCTTCACTCTAGTCAGTATCCTAATGCATGGTAGCATTTGGAAAAGGCTTCCATAGTTCCAATTGGCACAACACCAATTAAAAATATTCACACTGGAGAGAAAACCTTTCTTTGTATGAAATGGAAAACTATTTCTTTGTTCTTGTGATTTTATCAAAGATAAGAGACCTCACACTTGTGAGCAACCTTTTCAATGTCAACATTGTGGAAAAGACTTGACTGCTTCAAGTTTCTGTAACCCTCATGCAAGAATTTACATTGGGGAGAATTTTAATGCAAGTATGCGTCTAAGATTTGTGCCAAAGGCTTCACCAGTTCCTGTTGCCAATATGTTCTCAAGAATCCATCCTATAGCCAGGCATTGGTGGTGCACGCCTTTAATCCCAGCACTCGGGAGGCAGAGGCAGGCGGATCTCCGTGACTTTGAGACCAGCCTGGTCTACAAGAGCCAGTTCCAGGACAGCCTCCAAAGCCACAGAGAAACCCTGTCTCGAAAATCCAAGAAAAAAAAAAAAAAAAAAGAATCCATCCTATAGATTTGGGTATCCATTTGAAAAATGCTTTAGCAGCAATAGTTCCTATTATACTGAGCAATTTATTTCACTGGTGAAAGCCTTTATGTTTGGAATAAATGTGGGAAAATCTTCCAAGTGTTTATAATAAATGAAGTTTAAAGTGATTGTCATTTTCAGCAGTCTTCCCGATTTTGTGTGTCTCCTACCCCTAGATAATGATCTCACAGTGAAAAGTGTAGTGTGTAGAGCTTGCACCACCATTAACTGTGTGACACTGCATTGGTCAAATTGCTGGTATTGTGAGGTGTGAAAGATGAATGTGATTCGACCATGAGATGCATCAGCTAGTAATGGTTTATTGCCGGAAAACATGATTCTCTCAGTTACCTTCCTGGATCTTACATGGCGGCAGTAGAGAAACAATTCCTGGAAGAGGTCTTCTGACAGTCACATACACACTTACAAGTGAATTCACACCAAAGTACAAATGAGTAAATAATAATATGTTTCTGAGAGCAGAGACTTAACTAACAAATGCAATATTTTAATGTGGAAAGAAACGTTGTTAGACTCAATGTTTTACTATATGAAGGATTAAAATCATTACAGTATGTATAATAATACCTGATTTGGTTTTTGTTTTGTTTTGCTGGCTTTGTTTATTCTTTGGTCTTTACTTTGTCTCCAGTAGTAACTTTGAAAACAATTTTAGCAATGTTCCATGTGAGAATAGCCCAATAGCCTTTTTGAAACTTGGTTTCATTGGTGGAAAGGTTGAGGATTAAATAGAGGTATGGCCTTCTGGTGAATATAGGTCCCTCTAGGCAAGTTTGAGATTTGTAAAAACACTAATATTTGTAGTATATTCTCCCAGCTTCCTGATTGTAGATTATCATATGAGCTTCTAGTTGTTTTAGGCAGTTACAGAGGCTCCCACCCTCTGTGACTACAAGACTAATATAACAATTCCATTTAAAAGTTGCTTTGCTCGTTGTGTTTTGTTGCAGCTATAGAAAAGAAACCCATAGACACCTTGGTTCTTTCAGAGGTATCAAATCCAGTCCAGAGAAATTTTCATTTCAAAACAATGCAAAAGCTGATTGTTATTTTCTTTAAAGTATTATTTACTGATTATGTATACAGTGTTCTGCCTGCATGTAAGCCTGCATACCAGAAGAGGGCACCAGATCTCATATAGATGGTTGTGAGCCACCATGTGGTTGCTGGGAATTGAACTCACTATCTCTGGAAGAAGCAGCTCCTGACCTCTGAGCCATCTCTCCAGCCTGGTTGTCATTTTGAATGAGAGAAAATTTGTGAAACTTTTTCATTTACTTGGATCTCATGTCAGCAATAAATTAAATACTTTCTGAAATGCATTCCAAATATTTTAGAAACAGTTCGAAAGAAGTACAATCAAACTTTGAGCATATTTATTATAGGTCCATTTCTATACAGGATATTTACTTTGCATTATGTATTTGCTAGGAAGGCAAGATGTGGTTTCTGTGGTTACTTCAGGTTATCTTCTCATATCTGAAGTTGTGGAATGCAGAACTGCAAATGAGAGAAGGGAAATTTATCTTTCTGGGTCTGGGTTAATATACTTGTTTTCTAGTTGATTCATCTACCATTTCCAATGTAAGAATCCTGTGGTCCTGAATAGTGTTCCATTGGTGATTGGGGAATGTGCTAGAGAGGGGACTAGCTGTAGGTGCCTTGAGAAGGGGAAAATGTGAAAATTGTAGAGGAGCAGATATCTAATTAGGGATGAAATGAAGACAGTTAGCACCAGAGAGGGGGAAGGAAGAACTTTGTATGTTTGATAATGGTTAAGACATGTTTATTGGGGGCTGGAGAGATGACTCAGAGATTAAGAGCACTGATTGCTCTTCCAGAGTCCCTGCGTTCAATTCTCAACAACCACTTGGTGGCTCAAAACCATCTGTAATGAGATCTGGTGCCCTCTTCTGGCCTGGAGGCAGAACACTGTATACATAATAAATAAATCTTTAGAAAAAAAAGAAGTGCTTAGTGTGTAAAAACCAAAAAATTTAAATCATGCAAAGTGTATTATATATAATACCAATTATAATATATAATTTTAATAGCATGTATCCTTACATAACATCTAATGTAGGTGTGAACACAGGATTATGTACATACTGACAGATATGTATGCACTCAATATATTTGTATGAGTGTGTATTTATATATGATTATTAAATGTAGCTATGTCACTTAGCTTGGCGCCCCCGGCCCCCAATACTGTACATTAATAAAAATACCAGTATAAGGCATGAGAAGTCTGCATTTGAGTTGTGATAGTCTATGTAATTCCCCAAATGATTTAGGGTCCTATTTTATCCTTTGATCATCTCTGAGTCATAGTTGCTGGAACCATTACACAATTTGGATGCAACACTTGGAAAAGTTGAGCTAGATATAACTCAGAAACCACCTTCATTTAGTCTAACTGCCCTAATATTAGATTCAGCACAAGTTGCCAAGTGAAAGAATCAGTCCATAGATTTCCCAAGCTGTGACTTCTGTAGTTGTTTGAATGAGAATGGCCCCATTTGCTTTTATATTTGAATGCTTGGTTACCAGTTGGTGGAAAAGTTGGGGAGGATTAGATGTGGCCTGGTTGGAGAGGGTTAGTTACTGGGATGCTTTGAGGTTTCAGTGTTGATAGTGTTACAGTTCTTTCTTTTTCCCCATCTCCAGCATTCAGATCATTATGTAAGCTCTTTCCTCTCTCCCATTAATGTGCTGGCTTTCCTGCCTGTGACCATGTTACACGTAATTATAATCATGGCTCTAACCCCTGGAGTCACACGTGTCTAGAGATGTATCTTTCAAAAGTTGAATAGCTTAGGCAGTCTCATTACACCCAATAGAAGTAAACCACACTATGAACCTAAATAATGATCAACCTGGCAAGATACAGTATAGGTTCTTTAATGTCATCCAAGTCTTTTGGTAGCTGGCAAGTTTTTACTTGGATGTAATACCCGCCCAACAGGGGGCATGACATGCCTGGAACTGAAAACATAACCAATGAATCAAGATCGTGAGAACACTGATTTTAGAGAGCCTACCACTGCCACTTTACTAGGCCAGCATATTTCCCAAGTTTTTAACCATATTTATACTCACAGAAATATAGCCCACACTTTTATTTTAATAATCTCTCGGAGCAAACACACAATTCCAGTAAGCCACAATTGTTCATGAAGTAGAGATTAACTGATGGTTGAATCCCAGGACCACTTAGTAAAGCTACAGGACAGCACCTGAACCTGAGTCTGAGGGAACATCCTGGAATAGTGGTATGATTATAAGAAGGAGAATACCAGGATGTCTGGTATAATAAAGAAGGAATAAATGTAATATATGGACAATATGCCTACTAGATCTCATGGGGTCCCACCCTTAGAAAAAGAAATGTAGAATACTATTAAGAGAGAAAATACTATCCATCAGGTATGAGTCCCTTAATTGGATATCCAATAGAGTGGTCAAATCTAAAATCATACACCCAAACAACAACATGGTGTTACAAGTTGAAGGCATTCAGTGCTTCCTCTATACTTAGGGAACACAATGTGTTTGCTGTCATGATGTGCTGACTAATTTTTAAGCCAACTTGCCTCAAACTAACCTCACTTTGGAAGAGGGAACTCCATCTCTGTTTTTCAGATGGGCCTGTGGCCATGTCTGTGAACGATATTTTCAATTGATTTTGGAGGTCCTCATCCAGAATGGGTAGCGCCGTCACTACACAGGGGGGCCTGACTTTCTAAGAGTGGTCATTATCCAGAGCCAGTAATAAGATTCTTCCATAGGTCTTGCCATGGTTTCCTTCAATGATACTTGTCCCTGTTTATATCCTGATTCTATCCAGCTATGTCACTTCATGCCTGGCCAGTCAGACAATCGGTGTTTTATTCAGTAACCAAGAAGAAAAACATACACACAGAAGAACATTCCCCATCAACCCAGATTTTTTCCTGTTACCAATTTATCTGCCTCCCTTTATTCTCACCTCTGTGTGAGTTTGTAGATAGAGCACATGAGTAAAAGGAGAAAAGGAAGACATATTGTTTGTGGGAAAATATTACAAGAAACAGCTGGAAGCTGTACTATCCATTGCCACATGAACTCTGTGGGAAGTGAGGTGGAAAAATGGCTCTGTTCCTGGACCTGCAGCCTGCAGGACCCCAATCCACCCTTCCCAGACTCAACTGCTCTCTGGCATCTCCACTCCCAGCTCCACAGTGTAAGCCCCTGATGGCAAACTTTACACCTCAGCTTTTGAATGAGGATTCCTTTTCTCTTAAAGATTTCTTCTGTCTCCCAAACATCAAACAGTTAACAGTCAGTAGATGTCAGTCCATGTTAGGATAACTGGGTCACTGCCCAGGGATATCAGACCATTCCTCGAGTAAAAGAGTCAAGTCAATGTCTGTCTGTCTGACATGAGCAACTTTCATTCTTCTTTCTGTGAATTTACATCTTTTGACTTTTTGTGATATCTCAGTTTTCTAGACTAATACAGTGTGTATAGTCCTTACTGTCACATATGCTACCATAGCCTGTTCTCTCTAATTTGTGGAGTAATCACCATTTTGCAGACTATTTACATCCCGTTTCCTACACAAACCCTGACTAAACAGGCACTCAGGTCACATCATATCCATGGCTTCTAACACTATTGAAAATACTGATTTTTCTCAAAAGCAGTTCATTAGAAAAAGAAAACATATTAAGTATTGCATAAGCATTTGCTTATTCAATTGCATCTACTTAAAGAAGCAGCCTAGAGTAAACCACCAAATAAGCAATGATCCAGTCCTAGGGCCATGATCCCCTATACAGGGATCACCAAAGGCGCAGCTTTTCAAAAACTGCAACTTTTACATCAGAAATGGTCAGTGCAAAAATACATCCAACTTTGGATGTCTTTGTCTGTGAGTGAGAATTTTAACCCCCTCTTACAGAAGGAAAAATGCAGTCCTCTCCCATCATGATTTATTTAAATATTGCTAGTTTATTTATTTGTATTTTATGTATGAGTGCTCTGAATGCACACCAGAAGAGGGCACCAGATCTCATAACGGATGGTTGTGAGCCACCATGTGGTTGCTGGGAATTCAACTCAGGACCTCTGGAAGAGCAGCCAGTGCTCTTAACCCCTGAGCCATCTCTCCAGACCTCCCCCCATCATGATTTTTAAAAGGGGGGGAAACCCCATTACCCACATACGAACACACACGATGAGTTGGGAATTGAGGGGTGTAGCCTAATGAAAAAGCCTTTATTTACTTTTGCCAGTCCTGGCTTAGGGTCCCTTTACCATATTAAGAAAGGTATGAAATACTACAGGTGGTGACAGGAAAAAGTCTAAAGTAGCACAGACATATCTGTATGTGAAGGTGGCCAGTGAGACATGAGTCCACACAGGTCCCTTCACTTCACAGTTCGCGCTCAGTGTCACCAACCTGGCAGTACTGCAGGTTCAGCACAGGTGCAGGTTCCAGGTGCCTCTTCACCCCTAGAGAAAGTAGTTTCCCTGGCACAGAACAGGACAAAGGCCTTGTGCACAGCTGACTGCTTTGCAAACATTCCAGTGTTTTGGAAAGGATGATGCCAGTGCAGGACACCAGGGCACATCGTGTATCACCTTGGATACAATCATTCAGTGTCACCATTGTCACACACACAGAACTCACAGTTCCGAGAGACAGGGAGCACTCATCCTTGTTCTTATTTATTAAGGTGTCTGCCCTCCATCACCCCCTCCCTGCGTCCCACCTCCCTCTCTCCCTGCCTCCCTCCATCTCTCCCTTTTCCTTTTGTTTAAGGGATATGTACAGCCAATTTTCTTCTGCTTTCTCTGATGGCAGTTCCTCAAACTTAGCAGGCCTAAGAAAGGAAAAATTTAATTTGCTACATATGTTATTAACTGCAGTGATTTCCTGTGTAGGAATGGTGAGAATTTGAAAATTTGGAAACTATTTGTAACTTTGCTGAATGTGAAAAGGCCTCGAGAGTGTCAAATAGATTCATGGAATGGTAATACACTTATTTCTGCAGGTTGGTTGGTTGTAGGCTGCTTTAAGCAGAAGGGATTGGGATTGTCAATTCTGTAAACTATAATTACTTTGGAAAAAATGGTAACATTACCTCTCTTTCCTTTAGCGTTTGGATAGCTGGTTTGTAATTTCTAACCATTATAAAAACTTTGGAAAGTTAAGTGTACCTTCTACTCGCGAGGAAAGTGTTTTTGATTTGAAAATGGACATGAGTATACAATACATTCATACTGAATTTATTGCTCCTGTGTATAGTTATTTTTATTTTAATACACATTTAATTTTTAAATTGTTATCACATTTTTATTGTTTTGGAGACATTTTTTCTCATGTAGCCTTGGAATTTGATGTATGTAATAGGCTAGGCTTGGACTCAGACATCACCCTCCTTTGCCTCTTGAATTCTAGGATTCGAGTTTCCCATGACCATACCCAGATTTTTTTTTTTATGTATAAGGAAGAATGTGTTTAGGGTGTCCTGCCGGAAATCACAGTAAAATTGATGAAACCCTGAACCTTGATAATCCAACGCCCCCCCACCCCCAGTCTTCTCTTCCCATTCCTATTCTCTGCATCCCATCCCTAAGTACATCCACCTCTACTCATGCCACGTGCATCCCACTGTCCTTATGCGTCCATCAGCAGCACCCACAGGTCTCATGGGTCCTTTCTTCTCCTCCATCTGTTCTCCTGCTCACTCCGGTTTTGAAACAAATGGGTAAGAGGAGAAAGATGGAATCAGGTATAAGAGAAACTCACAGTGTTTGACTTTGTGGGCTTAGGTTACCCCACTCAGTATAATTACATTTCCAGTTACTTCCATTGCTGCAAATTTCATTCCAGTTTTTTTTGTTGCTGGATGGAACTCACTGAATTTATGTGCTATATCTCCATCATGTGGACATCAGCTGATGGAGATCCAGGCTGAATCTTTTTCTAGCCTTAGGGACTACAGCAGCAATGACCACGATTGTATATATCTGTTGCAGTCTTTGGAGTGTTTTCAGTATAAATCCAGAGAGCTGTATCTTGGTGAGATGGTATTTCCAAATTTCTCTTTCTGAGACAAACTCACACTGAAAGCTTGCTAAGCTTAGTCTTTTATGCTCCCAGAAATACCCTACAGATTTACATGGCAAGTGTTTGATCTGCTTTCCAGTGTCTTAGACATGCTAATATACATTTTTGTTGGGACCCAGCCCCCACAGGTTCTCTGTGAGTCGTTTTCCAGCATAACCACAGGTAGGTACCTCGTGTTTTCCTGACCTCGCCCTACTAGCATTAACATCCAGTTGTGAACCCTTACTTTTGGGTACAGACCCGACCTTCAGTCCTGTGCTGACATTTTTTACTTCCTGTTTTGAAACATTGTGCCTTGCTCAAAACCCCTTCCTGCTTCTTTGCCTTGGCATGGATTGTGGTTTCCTTGTTTATGATAGAGTGTGGGAATGTGTTCTGCTAGCAAGTGGTAGTTCTCCATTTCCTCTTATTATGATTGAATATAAACTGCTGGCTCCAATATATCCATGGAATTCACTTCTACCAAATGACCGGAGCTGTGTCCTTCTTAATCTGCAGACTCTGGCCTGCTCTGGTTCTTTGGTCGCTGGTGCAGTGATACAGTTTTATTGTTTTGTTATTTAAAGACCAAGAAAACTGTAAATATATGTTCATTATTGGGGATTTCCTTCACCTAAGTGATGTATGTTAATCATATCTATGCCTCAGATCCCAACACCTGACTCTTCTTTTCATGGGCCTATTTCTATTTCTTTCTCTCTTTTTTCTAATGACTCACTGTACTCAGTGATTTTCAGATGTGTGTGGCCATCTTCTCCATCATTTGCAACCTACTAGTGACTACACTGCTGAAGAAAAATACCTCTCCATGCCCCCCTTAGCCATCAGGTGCCATTACCTATTTAGCTAGGCTGAACTGTTTTGGATTTTGAAACCGTGTTTCTCTGTGTGGTCATGGCTGTGTCATAATCAGCTCTGTACTCCAAGGTGGTTTTGAAATCAGGGATCTGGCAGCTCATGGCTCCAAGTGCTGGCATTCAAGTGTGTATGTAGACAGTTACTTGTCCACCAGGTGCCACAGCCCTTTAAGCAAACTTAAAGCGCTATTATGTGGAAAAGGCAGATGTGGAACAGTGAATATGCCAGGGAGGGGCCGAATGCACTCAGACTCTCAGAGCAGGTTGTTTTACAATGTAGTGAAATCCCCAAACAGAATATGTTTATTCCAGTGTGCTAGGATAATATGTTGTTTTTCAAAATTTGTTTTTTTTTTGTTGCTGTTGTTTTTTATTTTGTTTGTTTGTTTTGATGTTTTCGAGACAGGCTTTCTTTGTGTAGTATTGGCTGCCCTGGAAATAGTTCTCTGGACTAGGCGAGCCTCAGTTTAGCGATCTTCCTCCTTGGTCTTGGGACTGGAGTGATTAAAATGCCCGCCACCCTGCCCGGCTTCTGTATTTCATGGTGTAGCCCTGAATGGCTTTGAATTCATAGACGTTTGCCTTTCTCAAGTGTGCAGTCACTACGCGGCGACTTTTTTGAACTTCCCCAAATGTTTTGATCTTGTAGGCTGTCAGGGCGGAGTCAATCAGGAACAGCAATACTGAAAGGAATGAACTGTCCAATGAGGAGCACGGATATTCATAGTGCGCTTCCTGGAAACTGCATCCTCCTTCCCCGCTGTGTTAGGATAAGGGGATTCTCGAGAGGACTTGTTTTGGCGGCTGTGTGTTCTCCTGACTGCAGACATCCTTGGGAGGACAGCTAGACGCAGGAGAAGCAGAAATGGTGAGTGCGCCATGGGCTCCTGTATCCCCGGGTGGAGGTGGCGGTTGCAGTGGCAGACACTAGCTCCTTACGAGCTGCGTTGGGCCAGCACCCGAAGTTTTCGCTGGTGGAGTCTGGCCCAGCAGTGCCAATGCCCACGTGGTCTTAAAGTTTGCCACTGGCAGGCAGCCTTGGGTCCCGCGTCCCCTAATCTTGTGTCCTGGTGAAGTTCTCTTGAGTGAGTCCTTGTGCTGGCGGGGTGCTGACACTTACCAGACTGCCATGTGGTTGACAGAAGTGTGCCCTATGTTTATATTTATTATGCTGGTGTGTGTAGTTACTTTGATTTTTAATTTATTTTAATTCATATTTAATATTTAACATGTTGTCATTTCCCTCTTTGGTTTTGGCAACGAGTTTTCCCTGTGTAGCCCTGGAACTCGCTGTGTTGACCAGCTAGCTTTGCACACAAAGATCACCTTCCTCTGGGATTAAAGGCTTGTGCCACCATGCCCGCCTTTTTTTTTTTTTCTTTTGTATTTGTATTTGTTGTTATTTAAAAAAAAACAAACACTTGGGCACTGTTTATCAGCAGGCTTACACAGCAACCACTGTGTAATTGAGGCCAATCCAGTTTAAAAAAAAAAAAAATCATATTCTGACTTCCTCCTGTTCTCTTTCCAGAGCTTGTATTTTTTTTTTTCTCTCTCTCACGTCCTAGTGTACTTACCACTCTGCTTACATGTGACATGCATTCTGCTATCCTGGAAACACTCCACCTTCTCACATATCTCATGGACCCTCTCTTCTCCATGGTCTCTACAGACATTCAGTTGAGTTTTGGAACAGATGGTTACGAGTTCAAAGAGAGTATCCTCACAAATGAGAAACAGAATTTGACCTTGTGGGATTAAGTTATATCCATTTGCCTGAAAATTTCATTTCAGGTTTCTGCATTGCAGAGTCAAATTCCAATGTCAAAATCTCCATTTTCTGAAAACCAGCTGAGGGACATCCAGGCTGATTCTCTTGATAGCTGGCGGGACCAGAGAAGCAAAGATCCCAACTGTGCATCTGTCTGTTACAGAGTATGGGCTCTTTTCATTATAGCTATTAGTTCAGAGAATGAATAGCTGAAGGAAGCAGTATTTCTATTTTTCTCTTTGAGACGCAAGCTCACACTGGTATGCTTGTGAGATGCAGCAGTTTAAACCTCCTCTAAAGGGAACTATTCACTTCTCCATGGATACTCCATAAGGTGTGAGGTCTTTAGACTTTCATGGGGAGCTTTTCACCTGCTCATCCGTATCCTAGTCTCGTGGACAACTGTTTCATTGTTTCCTTACTAAAAAGCCAATCAAACCCTTGATAATGTATTTTTATTATTGGCTCTTTCTAAACATAAGTGATGTGTTTTAACTGGATCTAACCCTTATACCCCCAGCACACCTGACTTTTAATTTTATGTGTCTTTTGTTTTTCTTGTTTATAACACACTGAGTTCTGGTGGTTCTGTCCAGTGTGTGTGGTCATGGACTTGAGCCGGAACAACATATTAGTGGCCGTATTCTGGAGGGAAAGTGACTCCTTCCGGTTCCCCACAGACCATCAGTTGTCCATACCTTCATAGCTAGGAGTGGCTTTCTGGAGGATTGCTAGGACAGTAATTTTGAAATGGAGAGGCTTGTGTTAAGGCTGTCTACAGTCTAAGGCATGAACTGTAGATGACCCCTCTTCTCTGTTTTGAGAGCCTGGCCAGTTCTGAGGATGGAGAACTGGGCGTATTTTTTTGCTGTAATTGAGATAGAGACATGTTGATGCACTTCACAACCCTGACATCTGGCAATGTCTGGGAGTGGATGTCCATGCTGGAACAGGTACCTGGATGATTGCCGAGCACTGGGCAATGAGCCGCCATTGTTCCTGAGGTCTAAAAGTTTGCCTGAGAACACCTCCAGCTGCTGCTGTTTCAACCCTGGAGAAACATGTAGTCATAGGAATGTAAGCTCATGAATGCATGCTTACTGGTGTTGCATACATATTCCCATGTAGTAATACAATGCTGTATGAAGAATACCTAGTGGTAAATTCCCAGGTGAAGTCCACTCTCTTAGGGGCTTCCCACTCTATTTCTTTGTTTTCATTAAGTCTCCCACTCTATTTCTTTTTTAATTAACCTTCCTTGTAGTATAACTTTCTCTTTATCAACTAATTCTGTGGCTTGTGGATATACTTTCTCCCGGATCAAATTGAAAGTAAAAGTCTGTGTACAGCAAAGCAGCTTAAATTACTTGTCCTTACAAGGATCTAGAGTCTTGATCCACACAGTCATAAGTGTTTTTGGTGACTTTAGACTTTGATACAACTATTACAGGACATTTTTGTGTAGGTGAACTCCTACTCAATAACAGTGTTGTACTTTCAATTCACCTTTGTCCGTTCACCTTTCTATAAAACTACAATGTTAGCATTAAACATTGACAATTATTGCTTATGTAATGATGTATTTAGTTAATAAGAAATCAGTTTCTAACTTAATAAAATTGACCATCCTGTTATGTATTATTATAACAATAATTATTATCTTATATTTCTAAGATAAGTTTTAACTTATAACATTAAAAGGTAAACCCAATGGCCTGTCTATCTGTGCCTTCCTTTTTTTTTTTTTTTTTTTTTTTTGGTTATTCGAGACAGGGTTTCTCTGTGTAGCTTTGGAGCCTATCCTGGCACTTGCTCTGGAGACCAGGCTGGCCTCGAACTCACAGAGATCCACCAGCCTCTGCCTCCTGAGTGCTGGGATTAAAGGTGTGTGCCAAAAACGCCCGGCTAGCCTTCCTCTTTAATGACAAGGTTTTCCAAATGCTGATCTCGTCCAATTTAAGCTAAAGAAAAAATAATTTAAATACCAAGATTTTGTTGTCTTCAGCCTGTTCAAAGTCTTTCCACTAATCAGTTTAGCATATGTGTCTCGTCCTCCCATGGTTTTCTACTTTAGATTGCTAATGCTAGTAAAATACGGTCTAAGAGCCTAGTCTAAAATGGAAAACTGATAAAGTATCGGTGTCTTTAAAATGATCTTCATTTTACCTATGCTAATATGTATTGTTTCCATGTGCTTCTGTTTTTATATTGTTCCCATTGTACAATTAGCTTATAATTAAAACTTCCATGTTGACCTAAATGTCATTTAATTACTTGTGTATGTCATTAAAGGTTCCCTTTATAGAAGTTAAATAAAGCATTAGTCAATATCTTATCTGGTTAATCATCATCTCAGCTCTGAGTCTACAAGAAGTCTAAAATATCCTTGTTTTCAGGACATAATAGCTTCTATACAATGGTACAATTTCATTATCATGACCAAGGTCCTCGTCTCAGAGATGACCCTCTAGTCGCTATGATTCCTAAAATGTAAAAATTGAGAAAAAAACATAGCCCTGTGATTTCAGAGTTCTTTAAGTATTTAATAATCTTATAAATTCCCTAAATATTATGTTCCTAATGTCCACTAGATAGGTATAATTTCTAATGAAGAAATGAAGTCTTAAGTTTATTTAAAAATCTTTCACTGTCAAGATTTGCCAAGAGTCATGAAATTGCTAAAAATATGGTAAATAATATTTTAATAAATGGCTTTTGAAAATGGCTAGGTTGAAGCCTGTAATGACTTTCCATCACGCCAAACTCTTTTGTTTGCATAGCAGGCCTTGTTCTGTCCCGATTTGTGTGAAGACCTAGGGATTCCTTCTACTCCAAATGTATTGGATTGGATTTGGCCTAATATCCAGGCCTTATATCTCTGTCATCAGTCAGGGATGCTGTTCCTTCTCTTCATCAAATGTCCACTGAGGTGCATAGCTATTCAGGAAGCCCCATCATTGCTATTGGGTGTGAATCCTGTGTAGACACTGAAGTGTGTGGTGTTGGTCCAGTAAGACATATACTTCTTCTGATTTTAGGCTCTTAGGTTCTCTTCATCAAATGTCCACTGAGGGACAGAACTATTCAGGAAGCCCCATCATTGCTATTGGGTGTGAATCCTGTGTAGACACTGAAATGTGTGGTGTTGGTCCTGTAACACATATCCTTCTGCTGATTTTAGGCTCTTAGAAAGGACACTTTGGCCCATCAGAAGAGGGAAAGGGTGAGTGTGCCCTGGACTCCTGGAACTGTGTGTTGTGTATTTGTGACTTTGCTGAGGCTGTGCTGTTGCAGCCTTGATGTTCTGCATCTGAGGCGCTTAGTGTGCCCTGGTGTCCTGCACTGGCTCAGTCCTTACCCAAGCACTGGAAGTGTGTGCAAAGCAGGGGGCTGTTCACAAGGCCTCTGACCCTGTCCCAGGGAGCCAGTTTGTCCCAGGCCACTTTCTTCTTTGGGTGAAAGGCACCTGGAACTTGTGCCTCTGCAGAAGTTGCAGTACTGAGCCCAGTGACACTGGTGACACTGAGCCCAGTGTGTGCTGTGAAGGGACCTGGGTGGTGACCCATCTTGCTGGTTTCCCTTCAGGTATATGTGTGTTGCTGGAGATTTTTCCTGACAGTACCCTGTGATTTTATATTTTCCTTAGAATGGAACCAAAGCCAAACCTGGTATAAGTTAAACACGGCTTTATCTTTAGTCCTCCACTTCCTAACCCCTCATTGTTAGGAGTGTGTGTTTTTGTATGTGTGCTTGTGTTTGTATCTGTAGTCTCTCCTTTTACAAATGATGGAGAAGACTGTGTTGTTCCCTCTGTAAGAGTGGAACAAAACTTAACAGTCACAGAGGAAGAGAATGTGGTTTTGTTTTTGTTTTTTTTGTTTTTTTGTTTTTTTGCACTGACTATTTCTGAGGTAAAAGTTGGGATTTTTGCAAAGCTATGTCAGTTTTGCCCTTGGTGATCCCTGTTAAGGGGATCTTGGGCTTGGGATTGAATTGTTTGTTTGTTTGGTTTACACTGGGCTGTTCCTCCATTTAGAAGAAATTGCATGAGGGATTACTTAATTAGTACTTGTGTTACCCAAACTAACATTTTCTGTCTGTGAATTATATACATTTTACCTGTTTTTAATCTGGTAACAAGGAAAATATAAGTATGTAGTCTTCAAATTTATCACAGACCAATGGAGGAATTAAAATTTCTTGAGTAAGCCAGAAGTGAAGACAAGCTACTTCCTAACAATGTGACTAATGACAGAAACAGCGCAGTGCCTGGACAGTCACCAAAGTATCTTCTGCAGTGCTAGGCATCCATTATCAGTCTAAAGGCCTAGCATATCTGACAGACTTTTCTGTGAAGCAGAATATTCTTAAGGGTTGTCCTACCTGTCTTGGCATAATTTGGCATTCCTTTAGTTTGTGTCCTGCTTGTCTAATTTGTGCAGCAAACTGTCAGCAGTTGAGAGATGCACATTTTATTTCCCAGTGGCTAACCTTTGCAACCAAGAAAGTAAGTTCTATGTGGAGTTTCTCTGATGCTCATCATCTTCTCTAAAGTAGATTGGTGCTACCAGGGGCAGACATGTCTCATTGTCATAAAAAAGAAAAGAACTTATGCTATTAAAATATCTTAAGTGCAATGTTCTGTAGATCTTTGAAGTGTTTAAAGATGACCTGACTATCTAAAAATATCTCTGTAGTACCTTAAAAAACATATTTAATGTGACAACTTGTTTTTTTGTAATAGGTGAATAATTGCTATTCTATATTTGCTTAATATCCTAAATATTTGGTAATAGCAACTTTCAAAGCCTAAAATTTGCAGGAAATTTTTAAAGGAGTTGCATAGGTATAATACCATGAACAGTATTAGAAATGCATGTAGTGTGTTCTAACAAAAGTAATCTCAATTTTGTATCAATATACAAATAATTCAAGCCTATGTAAAATATTTAAACTTAATACTTACTCTTATAGTTTAAAAGTAGATTTGGTTTTTTATTTTTGTTTACTCCCCTCTTTTAGAGTAGATTGTTAAATCTACTCATAGCTATAATTCATATATCCAGCTTTTTTTCTTTTCAAAACAAGAATTCTGAATCATATCTCCTTTTTCAACTTTTTTTTCTGACAGTTATTAATAACAATTTGTAACCAATAGACTGAAGTAAATACAAATATCCATAACTCATTAAATGACCAAAAACCACCCACCCCACCTCCTGGGAATGTGGATGTGGTATACTTAAAATTACTTCTTGCTGTCTGGAGTTAACCTCATCTTTTGAGGGATCCTGAGAAGGAATCTTCGGGTTAAATGTCAATTAAGGGAAGATGTAGCTGTCTACATTCAATCTGCCTTGCACTCTGTTTTATGTGAAAAAAGTTACAATCCCTAGAAGTTGAACATGCACCTCTTGAAAAGGTGCATTTTATTGCCATGATACTGGTGAAATTGTGACATCTGCATCTATATGACCATTAATAACAATGTCACTTTTTTGTACTTTTAATTTTAGTCTTTGTTCATTTATAGTAGTTTGCTAAAATAATTGCTTTATGGTTTTTCCTGAGTATTTTGTTCTTTCCTCCATAGCTTTTCTATCATCCAGAGCACTGTGGTTTCTCATAATAGGTATTATGTTCTTTAATTGCTTTGTGAAGGAGTTTCAACCACTGTTACAAGAAATTACAGAACAGAATTTGCATGATGGCCTGCAAGAGGCCCCTCACGAAATTTCCCAATGGCATACGGTTACCTTGACTGTCACTTGTTGACCTATATTCACTTGTACAGTGCCTGCCTTTGTACCACCTTCTGCATAATCCAGAAGGGAGAGGCTTTCTGTTTGAATTATGCTTAGAAAAGCCATTGTTTCTAGAAATGCCTTGCTTACAAACCCTTTTTAAGTGACCCTGATTGCCACAATTGAAACACTTGACATTCTGATTTCTCTTCAAACATTTGGAAATCATCTCTCCTACCTATGCATCATGGCATGAGATTGAATATTTGATTGTATCTCAGATCCATTCCTCCAAGGGTGCTAATCATGCTGGTAGTGGCATAATTACCCTTTTGCATTATGAATTAGCATTTTCAAAAGACAGAGATTCAATTAGTATTTATTTAGCTTTGGAATCTTGTATCATTCTGTTTTCTCTTAAAGTCAGGCTTTGTGAAAAATTTGTAAAAGCTTCCTTTGGGCGCCACATCACTTTACTAATGACTCAATTTCCTTTCCTACTTCTCAAATTCTATCCCAAACATTCAGAGCGGCTGTGTGGCATAAATCCAGGACATACATGGTCATCATATCGAGATTGCCTTTGTATGTCAGCATAATCTCCCTCGCCAAGAAATTGGTCTTTGGAGATTTTCATCCCCCTATGCCTACTTTATTATTCAATGGTCTTAACCTCTTCTTTCCACCATGACTTCCAGTGTAATTGAAAACAAATCTCCCTGACAGCTTTAAGAAAATCTCTCTAATTTCTTGGGATAATTCTATTACAAGTTGATCATGAGTTTAACATTTTCTTCACAAAGGCTGAATGTTCTTAACCATTGAGCCATCTCTTCAGCCTTTATATACATTGCTTCTATTAGTCTTTTTATGTGGCTGTCAAAAATGACCCAGAAGAGTGACTGTAGTCAGAAGGCGTTTATTTCAGATCATTCTTGAAGGGTATGTACTGTTCAAAAATGCAGAACTGTGAAGCTGCTAGTCACAGTGCACACAATCATGAAGAGAATAATGTGTGATTGTCTTAGGTTTCCTTTTCCTCTATAGTAGCTCTTATAGAGTTCACAAAATATTGCTCTCAAGTTGGAACATATATTGCTTTGACTATGTTCCAGCTGTATGCCTGCCTGCTTCCCACCGTGAAAATCACTGACTAACCCTCTAAGTGTAAGTGATGTCCCCCAAGATGCTTTCTTTTATAGTAGTTGCTTGGTCATGATGTTTCCTAAGGGCAGTTGAGTAATAATTGAGACAGGGGGCTCCATTATTACATTAAGTAGTGAAGATAGCATCCCACAGATATTCTTCAGTTACTGCTCTTCACATGATAATTAGGAGGTATTTTCAGAAATTTATATGCTAGATGATTCTTTATTCGTCAGTCTGTCAGTTAAAACTAACCACCCTTATATGTGCACCCTTAGGAGAAAGTGGCCTTTGAGGATGTGGCTGTGAACTTCAACTCAGGAGAATGGGCTTTGTTGAATTCATTTCAAAAGAAGCTCTACAGAGATGTGATGAAGGAGACATTTTTGAACCTGATCTCCATAGGTAAAATCCCAACATGTTCCCATTGTTAATTTAGCCATGTCTTGTGTTTGTGTGTACTGTTGGTATTTGAATTCTTGAAGTGAATATTTGGTAATATAGTGTGAAAACCCATGTCAAAGCAGCTAGGGTATAATACCATTTATGTAGATCATGCATATGTCATACTGTTTTCTCTGGATTTTCTTCTAGAAAAAGCAGTAGAAGAAAATATTGGAGAGAACTGCATAGACTTCAGCAGAAATTCACGGTAATTGGTATTCAAAAGAAAAGAATTGATTTCACATATTTGCAAATTATAGGACAACTGAGTCCCTATCAAAGTGTCTAAAGAAAACTAAGTGAATTATAATCTCTACACACATTTCTGTAATAGAGCATTGAATTGTGCCATTCAATATTTGAGTGTCTCAACTTTGTGACATATTATGATCACACATGTGTCATTTAACATTATCTTCAGAATGAGCTTTATCAGTGGTTTATTACATACAAACGTCAAAATTATTTGCTGTCTTCCTATTCATTATTTTGAGGTTTGACCATAAGTCCTGTGTTTTTTTCCTTTCATCTACTATGACAATAAAGAAAAAATAAGCATTCTGGGTTGGAGCTCATTTTTACTTCCATATCCTTGTGACAGTCTCATCATCAAGGGAAGTCAGGGCAGGAACTCAAGCTGGAAAAGAACTCGTAGGCAGAAATGGAAACAGAGGAGATGGAGAAATGCTGTTTACCGGTGTGCTCCTCATCTCTTACTCAGCTACCTGCCTTATGCAGCCCTTGCCCACCTGTCTAGGGGGATACCACACACAGTGGGCTGAGGTATACCTTCTCAATCACAGATCCAGAAAATGCCCTCACAGACAAGCCTAGTGTCACCTGAAAAAGCCAGTGACTCTTTTCTGGTTCCTTCTCTCAGATGTGTGTCCCCATTTGTGTCATCTTGACCAAAGTAACCAGCAGATCCCTTTCCTACACAGCTCCAGCCCCCTTGCCCATGGCCACAATGCACATCATAGTGTGAGCATCCTTCATCAATCAGGAATGTAAAATGCTCCCTCAGACTCATTTACAAGCCAATCTGAGTCATTTTCACCTCTGAGGAACCCATTCTCTGATGGCCCTAGATGCCTGTAGTTGATAACTAAGGAACCAAACTGTCTTAGAATTCTGCATGTCAAAATGCCACAGTGTTTCACCACTTTATTTGATTGTAATGATTGTCTCCTAACAGCAGATGTTTTGCCTTCATTTTCAGTCCTTATACATATTAATTGTGCTTTACCTGTATATGTGTATCTATGTTAGTATTACCAGTCTTGTGATAAGAACTTTAGTAAATGCAGAAGAAAACAAAAGATCCTTCAGACCCTGAGTAACAGCAGGAACTGGGGTGCTGTTCACATGAGTGCTGGTCATCAAAATATGACTACTGAAGACCAAAATCTGTGATACAACTCCTTCATAATTCTAATAGAAGTAAAGTCAACACTCTATTTCTTTACATACGGCAGGGTCTTTACATGTGGTACACATTTTCCTTCACAGTGACTGTGTTTTCTGTTGCCTCTGAGAAAGTGTCATTTCAGTGGTCCACACAAGCCCGTCTCCAATATTTCCCTTGCCTGCAGTATTCTCTTCTCATTTTTTGCAGAATTCAAGTGATTGAGAAAGACTGTGGATATGCATGTGTCCATGAATGTGATAAGACCCAGGAACCTATTACAGAGAATGTCATCAACACAGGCATGCCTCCTGGAGAAAGAGTATGTCAAAGCCCATTGCATATAAGAAACATCCTTGGTCATTCATCCTCACATGGGTATCTCAGAGAGCAAACTACAGGGATACCATCTGCATGGAAGAAAGCTATGACTAAAGCTTTTACACATCAGGAACATTGGAAAGATACCCATCATTCTGAATCACTTCAGGTACTTGAAACTTCTCC